TGCCCCAAAACTTCTTGACCTCGACGATGGGAAACTACAAACTACTGTGTCGGATGCCAGCTCTCATCAATGTCAGAAAATATAAATCAAATTAACAAAAGAATCAATACTTTGACGTCTGTTAACAGTTTAATTCAACTACAACTTGCCGAGTTTACAGACCACTGAAGATATGTTTAATGCCAATAAGTATTCAGTACATGTGTGTTTCACATATACTTAATTTGTGTCCTTATGAAAACCTATAATATAATTAGGCCTATCTGCTTCTATGTTAACTTTTATGAATAAAGTTCATCAATGACGTAACTCCTTAGCTAAACGAGTATCTGTCTTCACTTTTTGAACATATTTGGAACATATCACATTTTGAACATATATATGCTTTGTGACTCACCCAACCACCTTCCACAAGAATGGTACACTATCTGTGTAATCATTATGCTATGTAACTACCATCTGTGTAATCATCTTACTATTTAATGACCATCTCTGTAATCACCCTCCAATGAATCACTGATATAAGTGAGATTATGTAACTTCTCCAGTTTATATTTATCCGTTTCAAGGCCAAGAAGCCGGAGCCCAAAAGCTGAAGCTCAACCCCAGTAGAGTTAGTTAAATACAGCCAGGTGAGTACAGCTGGTGAATAGAGCCAGGTGAGTACAGCCATATGAGTACAACCTAGTTCTACCATTCCATATATATTTGTGAAATAGGCTATAGGCCTCCCCAGTGCGTCGAGAGCCATACTGAGTATCTCCTTATCACATCAAAATATGTACAATTATTTACCATTAGCTTGTAGATTAGCTGATCTTGCTATCTCCAGCAGCCGCCTAGGCCTGTCATAGATATTTGCCAGCAAATCGCTGTGATGTTCCCATAGTGCCTACTGAAGCCTAGTCTCCGAGATCATAGTTCATATTACGGATATTAAACATTGGAAATGTAAATTAAATTCAATAAACTATAAACGTAGGCCTAGAGTATGGTAGGTTAGGCCAATGGGTTTCTAAAATGTTTAGAGAATACAATGGAATTGCAATAACTTTGACAAATTTCGAATTTGAACTTAATACTGATTTTTTTTTTGTTTATAGGAATTCTACATGACATTACGTTTCTTACTAATATTAAATAAAACATTTCCTTTATCAAAAAGTGACTTACATATGTGGAGACGATTTTAAGTGTTGCCACGGAAGTTATAAGTTCATATATTATACATTCCATGACCCTCTTGTATGGTTAGTGTTAATGAGTCCCCAGACCCATTATGTGGGTGATAGTACACCCCTATACCCATCCTATGGGTGATAGTACATCCCCATACCCATCATGTGGGTGGTAGTACACCTAATAGCAATCCTATAGTCGGTAATTCTATCTTCTATTTCTAATTCGATCTATCCTCTGTAAGCGATCTCTAATTCTATCTTCTGTAAAATATTTCAAATTCTATCCATTGTAAGCGATCTCTAATTTTATCTTTTGTAAGCGATCTCTAATTCTGTCATTTGTAAGTAATCTCTAATTCTATTTTTGAAAGCGATCGTTATCTTCTGTGAGTGATCTCTAATTATATCTCTTGTCGGCGATCTCTAATTTTATCTCTTGTAAGAGATCTCTAATTCTATCTTTTGTAAGCCATCTCTAATTCTATCCTTAGTAAATTGATCAATCATATATTACCCCAATCAATTTGGGCGAGTTACCGCATCATGGTTTCTATGGGATAGCAAGCCTATCCAATGCGAGACCGCTTTCCTGCTTCAGAGGCTTGGCTGTTATCGTGATATTACTGTTTTAGTGAGATGCTGACTAAGTTAGCGAAGCTTCAAGATTGTGTGGAAACCCTTACAAGATGTTACCTACACTGAGGAAGTAGGTGAATTAACTTTACGAGGCTCAGAAAAGCAAAAGATAATGAGGGAGCAGAGGCTACGTTTCTAAACTCCACAGATTCATCCATAGAATCTGTCTCCAGTAAGACTCTTAGACTTTGCTGATAATCAAGAAGACTAGACTTTGCTGATAATCAAGAAGACTCTAGACACTGCTGATAATCTCAGGGCATGTAGCTCGAGTAAGCTTAAAGATTACATTGAGCCATATGTAGTCAATATCAATAACATTTCTAAACATCAAAGTAGATACCTTTATAAGATTAATGTTAAAAGGGACATGGATACTGTGCTAATATCTGGCCTGTAGGTGTAAACGTCACACCATGGCAATATAGGAAAACCAGGACTAACCAATATCAGAAGGGAGAAGAACGTAGATTTTAAAGTACTGTAGTGTAATTACATGCATCTCTGATAGGTTCGAGCCCAGAATGTATGAATATGCCAAAAAGCTTCAGTTTACATTTGGTCAGCATGTTGGTCTCCGAACGCATGAGTTAGCTGAAGAATCTGCCTTCAGAAGAGTTTATTATAACCTTGGATTGCCTCTACGCAGTCTGAAAATAATAATACAACAAGAACTCTAACAAAACCTTGTAGGCAAAGTGAAATCTATACTAGTCATTCCATCTATAATTCCATACTCCTGGGCTCTATGAGACTCGAACCCTGGACTCTTCGTGTGTGAGGCCGAAGCTCTATCGACAGAGCTATTGAGTAGTCTTAATAAGAAAAGTTTGAAGCAGCAGCATCCTGATGCCAAACTGGAATTTTATTTTAGATCTATCATTATATTATCACGCAAGAAGATTTGATTTGGATATACCGCCAAGATTTTTTGGTTTGCAACGTCTCATGCAGGAAGAGCCCCACACATCTATGGATCCTCCGATAAAGTCAACAGACTCTTGGACACTACTACTGATCAGCTTAGACTCGGACATAAGGATCTCACGAACAAAACTGGCTACGTAGCAAACCAAACAAACTTGGCCGTATAACCAAATCAGACAAACAAACTTGGCCGTATAACCAAATCAGACAAACAAACTTGGCCGTGTAACCAAATCAGACAAACAAACTTGGCCGTGTAACCAAATCAAACAAATTTTTAGCCGTGTAACAAAACCACACAAACAAACACTTCGTGTGGGTATATTAATAAATCAAATAAAACCTGCGAAATTTTATTTGCGGAATTTCAACGTGTCCTAAGGCTAGGTTCATTCCATCCAGAGGCCGACCCGCCGGATGGACCCCAAAGACGTATTCATACATTTTAATATGCTGGTCATTCAAAACACTAATTTTCTCAAATATAAAATTAGTTTTGTTGTATATTAGTATATTGTGTATATTTAGGAGTAGGTTAGGTGTTTAGGTTCTGTTGGTTTTTATTTGTATTTGAAGTATGTGGCTGCAACCAGGCCTCAGACCAAGTCCATTCCATCCAGCGGTCGACCCTAAAGATGCATTCATCAATTTTTAACATTCTGTTCATTCAAAACAGGAATCATCTCATATATAAATTAATTTTAGAATATATTAACATATTGTGCATATATAGGCATAGGTTAGGTTAGGTGTTTAGGTTCTGTTGACGATTATTTGTATTTGTAGTACGTGGGTAAATCATTTATAACATTGTGGTACGAACAAAATTCGTCAGTGAAGCACTTGTTCCGGAAGTGTTCGAACGAAATAAGCTGTGAGTCCAGCCCGTGCTCCAAACAAAGACCCAAAAGTGATTCCATGCACCCGCCAAACCCCCAGGTGTTTATGAATGAAAAACGGTTTACACACGCCTCAACTGATTTCGTTCGAACAATTCCGGAACAAGGGCTTCACTGACGAATTTTGTTCGAATCACAACGCTGTAAATGCTTCACCCACGTACTACAAATACAAATAATCGCCAACAGAACCTAACCTAACCTAACCTATCCTATGCCTCTATATACACAATATGCTAATATATTATAATATTAATTTATACTTGAGAAAATTCCCGTTTTGAATGAACAGCGTGTAAAAATTTATGAATGCGTCTGTGGGGTTGACCGCTGGATGTAATGGACTTGAGTCGAGGATGGGTTGATAAATGCTTCACCCACGTACTACAAATACAAATAATCGTCAACAGAAGCTAAACACCTGACCTAACCTATCCTATGCCTATATATACACAATATGCCAATATATTATAATATTAATTTATACTTGAGAAAATTCCCGTTTTGAATGAACAGCATGTTAAAATTTATGAATGCGTCTGTGGGGTCGACCGCTGAATGTAATGGACTTGAGTCGAGGACGGGTTGAAATGCTTTACCCACGTACTAAATACAAATAATCAGCGACAGAACCTAAACACCTAACCTAACCAGTGCCTAAATATGCACAATATGCTAATATATAATAATATTAATTTATATTTGAGAAAAGTTCTGTTTTGAATGAACATAATGTTAAAATTGATGAACGCGTCTTTGGGGTCGACCGCTGGAGAGAACGGACATGGTCTGAGGACAGGATGCCAAGTAAATGAAATGAATATGGGAGTTGACGTAGACTTTCCAGGACTGTCTGCAATTCCTGAATAAATAAACAGCAATTCTTAAGATTTTATATAAGATGGAACACATCAGAGTTTATATAAATGTTTATATAATATATCTTGAAATGATGGAGCACGAGTCAACCAAAAATAGTAAACACAGTCACAATAGGGTAGTCTATAGAGAATCTCGCATAACTTTCTTGACCTTCGTCGACCCAGGAAATATTATTGTTGACTGGTACCTGTTGCGGCCTTCCGGCTAAAGCGGAAGTGCCATATTAGCTGCCAACTACACTCAATAACCAATTACCTGAACAGTCTTCTAGTTTGCTCTGTGAGTAAAGAAGATCTCGGCTACCTAACACTATTAAGTTTTCCTTATGAGCCGTAAAAGATAAAATAGCTATACAAAAAAATAGTGAGGATTTGAGACTAATTGTGTATATATTTGTATGGATATCCTGATGGTGCTGTAGCGAGATTTGGCAGTTGCGCAAGGCTGCGAAGACGTGGCACCAGCGACATTGTTGTGGGTCGTGGCTCAGAGTGGCTCAAGCCATCGAGGAGGGTGGACGTACGAGGGTTGCTGGTGCTGGGTGCTCTTTCTCTCTTGTCATATCTATGGGAAATTCCTGTTAGTTCAGTCTGATAGTTTGTGGAACGGAGGGAGACGACTGAATATCCTCGCAAGAGCTCACACTAAGTGGGGTGGAGACTATTGTGGGCTCATCACTAGAGAAGATACCTTTTTCCGGTGGTTCAAACGTTAAAGCATCTTCTGGAGCCCAGTGTGAGCACAGGGGGCTTATCAGAGCCCGAAGAATTCGACTAACCATGGCGTGGAGGAGCGTGACTGTGGTGCTGGTTCTGCTGTCAGCCGGTGCTCAGGTATGATCCGGGATTGTGTTTTTGCCATTAAAATATCCAGTATCCTCCATGCAGAAGCGTTATCCATGAGTTTTCTTCCCTAGCATGATCACAAATGTGGATCTCCGGCGAGGACAGAAACGTTTGAGCGTGTTTCCTTTCACCTGGTACCGCTGGTCACCTAACAGTAAATAGTTATCTAGGAGCTAGGCAACTGTGATGGGTTGCATTCATGGGATAAACCTTGGGGGGGGGGGGAGGGAGAAGTGATATCTCTGGTGCTACTTGATTCCCCAGTTTTGTGCCTTCTTTTTGATAATTACTCTAGTTCATAAGCCTTGCTACAGGCTTCGTGCCCCCTGACATTGGAAATTGTATAGTATGACCTATCTGTGTTAATTGCTTTGAGTAATTAACACACACAGGTCATACCTAGGAATATTCATAAGTATTATGAATATTCCTAGGCAAGTTACGGAAGGTATGATACTCTGGTTTGGAATTCGCTTCCAGACAAAACGTTTATTCGCAGCTTTATTTTGTAAGACCATAACACTCTCTATAGGTCTGGCCACCATTACTATGTGCTGGTGTCGATTTTTGTAATAATACAAAATTATCTCGTTATGTTTGCCAAGTTCATGAGCTAAAAGATATTCTCTAGTCCCAGAATATTTACAATTTGTGAAATTGTAAATATTTAAGTATTTGTTGCCTCTGATTTTTATGACATGTCTGCAGACATCTTGTAAGACTATGTATTAGTCAAAGTGAAGTGCTCAGTTGTGTCTTCACCATGTAGGGCCTTAATACTTTCCAATTAGTTCTTAATCTATAAAGAATCTGCTACATCTAAAACTGTTCACTTGAAAAATGGAACAACCAAGACTTAGACATATCTAAACTATGAACGAATACAAGGGCAGTAACACCTACTGTATTCTACACCTACAAGTTAGGCCAATGCAGGTAACATGGAATCTAATACAGGATTACATAAGATAGAATTATGATGACCATTGTTTAAGAAGTGTAGTCTTGTGTATTGATATTTTCCAAAAGCCAAAATGTTGTGCTTACTGTTACATGTTTTGTATTATATTACTGTACATATTATGAGATTTAGCTAAAGTAACATGTAGTTAGGTGGTAATGGTTGTTTTTAAAGTCATGTTTACTAGACAGCAAATTTAAGGTCAATTTGTTAACCACAGAAGGCATGTAATCTCTGCATTTCTATTATGCTATAAAAATTTTATTATCTACAGGCAACTGGATACAGTTGCCTGTAAGGTGTTCTCACAACTTGTCATAAAAAAATATTACTTATTTATTATTAGTGATAGTACACAATTTAACTTTTACCTGAAACTGTCCATATTTTCCATTAATTTTGTAGAGGTCCAGAGAAAACCTACAACCATAGGTAATCTCTTCTAGGCTTAGTATAGTACTTATATAGACATGTACTAAATTAGGAACTACAATTTTTGGAGGCTGGTTTGATATCTAGTGCAGTACTATGCGACTTGCTCCCATTGATTAAAATTGTTTGTAAACAAACATTATTTTCGTGCATTGTAATATACATTTAATAATTAACTAATTCATTGTGTTGGGGGACAGGAAGCCAGTGTGTATTCATACAGGTAGACTTATATCGAGGTTCAAGGCTGAATTACTGATCCCGTCCAGGATGCAAACCCTTAATAAGCTGACTTAACTCCTGAGTACCTACTCACTGCTAGGTGAACAGAGGCATTAGATGAAAGAAAATGTGCCCATCCATTTCTGTCCCGCCCAGGATTTGAACCTGGTATTCTTGATTGTGCATCGAGAACAAACCCGGCTGTACTACCGTGACCCTTTAATTCATGACAGTTATATATCTTTAATTAATCTATAAAAATTAGAGAGTTAGAACAATGCACATCATGATTGTGGATGACCTTTCACAACTAGTCATTCAGATCTTACCTGATATTTGGGTTTGCTTACAAGGTATCATTGCAGTCCAGTTTTATAGAGGTGGTTAAAAAAAAAATATATATATAATATAAATAATAATATTTCTCTTGGGATTGGTCAGTCATTGTCTTAGGTGGGACCTCAATGAGCTTAATAGGCTGTCTCCGACAAGGGGGGGGAGGGGGACCATTTTGATATATTATGGAACCAGTATTTTAATGTTGGCTCGTATATCAGTAATTTTTCCTGTAGCATTATTCAGTGCTAGGAACCTAACTAATGCTCAATTTAAAATTGGGCTTAAATTAATTTTTGTAATTGTTTAAATATTGATGTGGCACTTTATTTTAATATTGCCATTTCATTTTTACAGTGGCAAGTTATCTAATTGTTGAAAGACACATTTTACATTAAATATTATACTTTAAAAGAACATTTAAAGAGCCAAATAATTTCTTGCAGAATTGGTAAATTAAATTATCCAATTATGATAAATCTGGTAGCATTTTGAATTTTATTGTAATGGCACTTATGAAAATTCAAACTACTAGGCCTACCGCACTTACAAATTAAATCTAGTCTAATGTAGGCTAAATTGTTCATTTAATATGTAAATTACCATTTCCTTTTCTTAGTCAATTACTACATTATAATAGGGATAGTCTTTAAAAGCTTTTTTCTTACTACCTTGACCATATACTGTACAGTATTAGGCTTTTTATAATATCCAAAAGTCACATGGCAGTGTTATAGCTAGGTCTAATGCTACCTTTGTTTGCATGTAAGCTGTGTGGTACAATGTTCTGTAGTTTGAAATATTTTTTGTACAGCAAGTGCAATTGTTCATGTCTGATAAACTTCAGCTCCTCTGAATGTGGAGTTGTTGATGTACCGGTGGTCTTTGTTTTCGGACCTGACCATTATTTTTGTCAACCTCTTGGCAGATTGCGCTATTTCAAGCAATTTCTCAACCTTGCATATATTGTTTAATGATATGGCAGAGTTTTGTGATGCTTGTACTGTCTAATACTGTAGTTATGAAATGCAAGGAAAACTTCTTTATACATTAATAAAACTAAATTTCCATACAGTTTGTCACTTTCACTAGTGTGTGTGCGCGTGCACCTTAGTTTGTCTTCATCTGGGAATAAATAATGTTGCACTCTTGGCTGTGACAAAATAGTTTAAATGTTGAAATTGCTGCAGGCATTATATTGGTATGTATAATGTACAGGTAAAGTTAATGTTATAATGTTAAAATGTGCAAATCTTTTAATACGTTGGATATGAAAAAAATCATTCATTCAGAATAGCATAAATAGTTTAGAATAGCTGTGTGGTTATATTGTTCAGTATTAATATTCTGGTAGTTTTCATAGCGGTTTATTTGCTGTTCAGTAATATTGTGGTTGGTCTTCCTCCTGAACTGCCTCTGTAGATTATCAAAGCTTTCATGTGGTTGCTTATCTCTGTAATTTAGTGGTTTCACTTTTTTTTGTAATACAAACCACAGGGAACAGATGTTCATAGTTTCGTACTCAATGACTTGTGCTCTCCATTTCCTCGTGTCTCTTTAACAACTGTCTCAATATTCTCGAGCTGGCTACAAAGTCTCTGGCCTTGCCTAAAGTCTCGTCTTCTTGGTCCCATTCCCACTCTTCAGGGTTTAAATATACCTTGCATGTTTGTGAAACTTTTTGGGTTAGAAAAAGGTACTGTGCCACTCTGGTGATGTATACATGTTCTCAAGATGTTTGTCACTTTTTAATGAAAATCCATATTGCAGAAAATTAAAGCTTTCTCCGGGAATTCTATCATCTAGACATAATAAGCACAGGGATGTGCACAGTCGAATGATGTGCAACATTGCTTAGTAGAAACTGTAGCTGTCCAGCAACAAATAACAGCTCCAACATACCCATCAACATACTTGCTCAATTAATTTAAATGAGAATTCTGCTTCGACACTCCATTACATGGCTATGGGGAAGATTTATCCTCTATAGACCACAGTCTTACTTTTATGATCTTGGACAAGGTTACTGTGGCATGTGATTCTGCAGCACCCACTTCTTATGCCCACATTCCCCACAACCGTATCAATGTAATGCTCAGTGTTGTGTAATGTATTATAGACCTAGCTGATTCAAAGATGCATCTGCCGTGGCACAATGCCAAAGTCTCTCTCGGATCTGCTGCACGAATCACTGTAGATATGATGCCCATGTCATCTATGGGAATATTATTTAATTCATTTAAAGCACTGGCAGTATGATGTGTGTTATCTTTTGCATGCTGAATGAAGTGTGCATTGTGTTCATGATTGATGCTGGGTATCTTTGTACAATTCTTTGTTCTTACTGCAGGTCTCAAATTTCATCACTTAAGAATAAAATCCATGACTTCTGTGAATCAATTGGTAATTTTTATGCTAAAGTGATGGTGCATTTAAACTAATTCAGTTTGATAACACTCTTGACATATTTTAACTGTTGCCTAACCTATATATGCAATTTTCTTTCTGCATATTTATCTGAAATCTATTTCTACGAGGCACAGAGATTGGGACAATTTATTTTCCAAAATAAATAAAAAGGTGTAGTATACCATTCCAGTAGCACAGGAGGCTTGTCATTCATTATAATAATTTTGTTGGGACAGGCAGTCAGTGTGTATACTTTATACATGTTAGGCTTATGATGTCCCTCTGACCCCCAAGGTTGAATTACTGACTCACTGATGTTAGCAAACCTCACATATGAGTGTGCTTGGGTGGGTGTAAGAGACCCCTGGTGTGGGTGTACCAGACCCCTGGTGTGGGTGTACCAGACCCCTGGTGTATCTGGGTGCGGTCCGTCTAATTACCACAAGCTACCACAAACTACACAAACTTCAGAAAGCTTCCTGGCAATACGTTATTAATGAATAAATATGATATATTTACTCATTATAATGTTGGTGCTGAATGTACAACACGAAAAAACATAATTTTAATCTGAAAAAGTATCTTTTTATAAAGAAATTAGACGAAAATAAAAAGCTGGTGACGCCAA